GCGGTGAGTCCGAACCCCCCCGGCTCACCACGCGGCGCGGTCACCGCACGATCTGGGGGGGGGGTCCTGACCCCACTCTCGGGATGTGGCCAGAGGAGGGGCGCGGCGCGCCTGGCACCTGGGGGGGGGGGCCTGGCCGACACGATGTGTTCAACCCGGGCATTGTTCCTCGAGTTCAGACCTCGGCAGCGCCTGTCGGGCCCCAGGACCATCACGGACGGATCCGGGGGGAAAACTCCCTCCGGGGAAGCGGTCGGGACCTCTGGCGCCGCGGCTCGAAGAATCACACAGTCGGATGTCTGGGGTCAGGAACTTCTGCTCAACGTGTCGCGCAGGCGGTCCCGGCGACACGTTGTGCACTGCAAGCGGGTGGCGCGTCGCTCCGCTCCGCGGGGCGGGAGGCTCGGAGAGGCTCCGCTGGGGACCGCGACGTGGGCGGCGTGTCGCGCCGAGGCGTGGTGGGCCAGAACAGCGCGTGCTGCTGACATCTCGGAAGCGGCAGCGCCCGCCACGGCCGCCCAGGGTGCGCGCGGGCGAAAGCCGACGCCGACGGGCCGAGACGGCACTAAACCTCCTCCCCACGGTCAGGAACTTGGCACAGCGTGTCAGACTGCTGGCTCTGGCCCACCACGCTTTGGCGCGACACGCCATGATCCCCAGGCGTCCACGTCCGGAGCCTCTCCCGGCCTCCCGCCCCACGGAGCAAAATCGACACGCCACCCGCCTGCAGGCAAGATTTATAGCGTGTCGCCGTGGCCGGCGCCGCGACGCGCGACAAAAAGCCCGGACGGGCTCGTGCTGCCTGCGAGGGGGGAGGCCGCGCGGCTCCCGCACCGCACCCGACGCACGCGGTCGGACAGCATTGAAGGGGCCCCAGGACACACAAATAAATACACACAAAGAAAATGATTCCCCATATTTTCCTATATTTTCTAAGCTTCTGTCTTCCCCCCCACTTCCCATATTTTCCCATATTTTCTGGGGAATCGAGGATTAATTGTGTCTGTGTGTTTCTTTCCCTCCTGAAGCATGCCTGGGCCCGCGCCCCGTGGCCCCGAGGCACGAGCCGGTCACCCTCTCCAGCCTCTCCCCTGCCCGCCGGAGCTGCCGAGCCCCTGCCGTGCTCGCCGCTCGAAGGGCCGAGCGCGGAGGGCCGCGCGGGGCGGGCCTGACTTGGGCTGCTCGCCGCGGCGGGGCCTCGGTGCCCCCCGGACGGCCGGGGCACGGGCTCCGACCGGCCAGGGGCGCCTCGAGGCGAGCCGTCGGGCCGGCCTCGAAGGGACACGAGGGCCTCCGAGGCTGCCCGCGGGGGCGGCGGGGGGGCAGCAGGGTCGCACGAGATGGCGCCCAGCGGGCCGAGGGCCATCGAGTGTCCCAGGCGGTCCAGGATGGCCGCGAGATGCTCCCACAGGGACCGTCCACGGCAGGTTCGCGTCGTGCCGACCCTGGCGTTGGTTCCTGACACCGCGGGGTTCGTTCAGGATTGAAAGATCGGACGTTCCGTGAACGCGGGATCGTTCAATGACGGGACGATTCTGGGCCACGGGCGGCGTTCAACCTTAAGCGCACGCAGTGGGGTCGCCGCCGGTCGGCGCGACGCGAACCTGCCGTAGATGATGACCTGGAAATCCGCCGATCGGGCGTGTGAGTCTAAGAAGTCTAAGCTGAAGCTCTGCTTCAGCATGAGCTTTAGCTCTGCTTGGGAAGGGGGGAGGGGGGGGACATGATCACCTGACGAATCCCACCAGCCCTCTGGGCGTAGGTGGTTTAGGGAGTTTCCTCTTCCATCTTCCCTCCTTCCCCTTCGGGGAGGGGTTTACCCCTCCCCCTAACCCCCTCCCCTGGACCTGGACGGGGGGTTCCGCGACGCGTTGGAGCGTGGAGCGTCCAAGATGGCCCAAGACGGCTCCAAGAGGCCTCGGAGAGGCCAAGATGACCTCCAAGATACCTCGAGATAGCCCAAGATGCCTCAAGATGGCTCCCCAGATGCTCCAAGAGGCCCCAAGGTCGCCCCAAGACGACTCCAAGAGGCCTCCGAGACTTCCAAGGAGACCCCCCAAGAGGCCAAAATCCTTCAAGAACCTAAGGAAAACCAATGAATTTTGCTTTCTCGCCTTTTCGCTTCCGATGGCCTTCCGAGGCCTCAAGATGGCTCCAAGAGGGCCCAAGATAGCCCCAAGAGGGGCCCAAGAGAGCCTCAAGACGGCCCCAAGAGTGCCTAAGAGCGCTCCAAGAGCGCCTCAAGATGAGCCCAAGAGGCGATTTTAGAGGATCTAGAGGGGCGGGGTTAATTAACCCCACCCTCTTCTTTGATCGATCGCCTCCAAGATGGCCCCAAGAGAGAAGGGGGGGGGAGAGGGGGGGGGGACAGGAAAGAGGGAGGGGGGGTACAGGAGAGAAAGGGGTGTGTGGGAGAGAGAGAGAGAGAGAGAGAGAGAAAGAGAGAGGGAGGAGAGGGGGGGGACAGGAGAGAGGGGGAGGCGGGGGACAGGAGTGAGAGGGGGAGGGGGGGAACAAGAAAGAGGGGGGGGGGACAGGAGAGAGGGGGGGGGAAAGGAGAGAGGGAGGGGAGACAGGCAAGCTAGGTGCGCTCGCGTCATATCTGACATCCTACCCCTCCCTCCCATCCCTTACCATGGCGCAGATCCCCTCTCTACTCGCTCAGTCGGATGTCGAGCAGGGCAATGATCCAGAAAGGGTACGCGATGCATTGTAGAGCACGACATGGCATGGCGTAGAAGAGCACCGCAAAGAGTAGGCATTGCATTGCATGCCGTGGCATGGCACGGGAA